AAGCTGCGAGTTCCGGCCATGTGACATTGTGCTTAACAACCTGCAATGATTGGCTTAACGACTGCAGCCAGAACTGACATTGTAAGTCAGTGCGGTCCCATGATGTTTCACTTAACAACTGTGCTGCTTAGTGACAGAGTTGCCAGTCCCAACTGAGGTCAGTAAATGAGGGCTACCTGTACTCCTATTAATTTAAAGCTTACCTATGTGCAAGAAATGTATAAAAACCAGTATCAGTATGCTTGGAGGGAAGGGCATAGCAAGGTAAAAAGACAGATGCCTATGTTGCACTTCTCCCAATTCTGGAATTTAAAATAAAATATCATTGCATTTTGCCCTGTCTGCAAATTTCCTAAACAGAATAACAGGTTATTTTCACAAATTATAAACATGCCCCTAAGATCTAGCCATACAACACTAACTGGATTAGAGTACTGGAAAAATCAAAACAGTATGCATCCACAAAACATTTCAGAATCACAGCAGTGCAAAGAAAATATAAAGGCCGCACTTAAAATATTTTGCTTTGGATACCACAATTAGAGAAGCTGTGATTGTTTATGAAGTCAATGCAGATTAAGCACCCATTTTAATACTCAATGCGATAAAAATAGACTCAGAGATCCCTATTATGTCTCTTTATTGAATTCTACATACTATAATCATTCATTTCACACTGAGATAGGATAATAAAAAAGAAAGAGATGATCCTATCAACACTAATAAAGATTGCTAAAATGTGTTCTTCTGTGGGCAAAGTTATCTTCTATGATATGCAAAGCTTCAGAAAGAAGTTTGCTATACAGGCATGGATTCTTGTAAAACTGTGGATGCTTTTCATAAATCACCAGGTGATAAAGTGTTGCCCTACAGTGTCAGCTATTTATTCAGAATTGTCATGTGAACCATCCTGTAATGACAGGGCGCGTTATGCATAAATATGCTTCCACCTAGAGAAGAATTCCTGGATGCAACGATGCCTATAGTCTACCAGAGGGACAAAGAAAAGGCATGGAATTGAACACACTTAAAACTGTGGAGATGATTGTGGACTTTAGGAAGAATCCTTCTA